AAAAAACCAGAAAGCTGCATACTAAGAACAAGTATAATCAAGCAAATAAGAAACATTATGCTGTTAAAAGATGGCTACACTGAAGTTCTGTATGCTGCTGGTTCTATAGTAGATGAATGAGACTGCATATTTTTACTCTGTATTTACAATTTCTTGATTTTTATAGTGTTAATTCATTCAGCACATAAAAATACAATGCAAATGAGTTGCACAACACAATCAAATTTTTCTATATCATTCACTTTTTACGGGACTTACGGGAGCTCTGTACTCAAGCCATACACTGTACCTACTTGAATACAAAAAAGGGGTAGGATGCCTTAACTGGGAGTTGCCTGATCGTCATGTTATGGACTTCAGTTAGCAGACAAAACTTGTGCAAGTAATAGGATTTGCTGTAAGACACCTAGAAAATCAAGAAGGATTCTTTATTTGGTGCTAGATACAAGCATTAAATGAAATAGTGTAGGCCAACAGACTCATTACATAGGTACCTGGTGGTATATCATGTAAAACTCCCAGCCATCTTGCTTTGGTAAAGTAAGAATTTTACCCTAAAAATATAAATAACCTATTTATCACTTACTGTTTAGGTGAGCTAGGTTTGGTTTGCTGTCAACTATAATGCTAAAGCTTAAAATCTACTCCAGGGCTTATATTGGCATGATGTTTATTTTTAGAAACAAAAGACCCTCAGAGGAGCAATAGTAAACAATAGAGCTTGCACTGGTGAGAGCTATTGCTTCCAACAGTTATTTCTCCGGAGTTGCTATTTTAGAAAGTTTGTTTTTAGAATGTCAGCAAGATATGCAGCATAGAAGGTTGAGATACTACAAAGCATGCACATTAACAAGGTTAATGTGTATACAGTAAGAGTATACAATAAAAAATGGTAAAAACATGTCCAAACTCATTATAATGACACTACTCTTTCCTTCCAGGGAGGAAGGGGACAGGTTAAAACAGTTACTGAAATAATAAAACTGCTTACTGCTTTTTAAACCACAGACACTTGACCAAAATGATCATAAGAACGAAGTATATAAAAGAGGCCATTCTTCCATGTAAAGGGAAAGGGACAGGAAGAAGTACAAGGAAATCCCTGCCAAACCCCTGAAATTTTTATTTAAAAGCAAAAGAATTAAGTAACAGTCCTCTACTCCTTTCAATTGCTACTGTAATAAGGGAAAGAAGTTTTGATCAACAGCCAACACCCCTTCATTGTAACAGTGACAGGAGAGCAACCTTTAGCTTTACTTGTGCTGTGTCCCAGCTGATAAGTAAGTGTTCAGCTTTTGTCAGTGTGCCAAGAAACCCAACTGGGTTGTGGTGAGGGGTGGAACAGATTCCCCAGTACCTCTTCTTTTCCCAGCATTCTAGAACTGGTCTGGGGTTTTGGAACCAACACCCTCTGCAACTCTGGCAGAAACACAACACATCACACCTAATAATGGGCTGTTTGGACTGGTGGAGGAAACAATTTCATCCCATTTTGACTCCAGAGGACTTGCTTTTGGTAATTTCTTGCAGTTCTGAAAGCCAAACTGAATTGAGTGAGGATTAAGACAGATGAGTTTCTTTGGAGTTCTCTGATGTTCTTGTTAAAGCACAGTTAAGCTGTTTCAAAAAACACTTCACACTCTTACCAGGAAGAGAATACTTCTTGAGAATAATTGCTATCAGTTATGTAACAAAGCCAATCCTAAATACAACAATCGGAGGAGAGAGAGAACCTGAAAGTTTTTGGACCCAACAGTCTTTTTAAAACTAAACCCAGGCTTTTCAAGTACAAAGCACACTTAATTCTGTTTAATTCAGAGAAACCTAAGATGCATACTGTTCAGATCCATTTGAACCAAAAATGTCAGAACAATGGGAACAAACATAATCCTAATTTCAGGAAAGATGGTATAACTGTGTAGCATTCTTGCAATGCTCTTGTGCTTTAACTTTCATTTTCTAACTGGATATATCAGTATACGTAAGTATGGGTCCTAAACACACATTGAGAATCGGTCCTGTCAACAGCTTGTTAGAATGTGGCAAACTAAGTAGGAAAAAATAAAACAATCTCTCACTGACAGTTGCCAGTGGTTTTATAATTCAGGTCGTAAACAAAAACTATTGTGCAACAAACAAATGTGACAAAGCCTACCTTGGTTAAATTTGTTTATATGATAAAAAAATAAAATATTAAACTGCTCGTAGTGCAACATTCTATCAGCATACATAAGTATACCATGCTTTGTAAATTTACTGTTACATTATTTACAGTACATTGCAATGCTTTAAACTAGAGGTGAAAGAACAAAAACAGGTAATGGAAAATGTTTACATACAGTTACAAGTCTTAATATTGTCCAAACTATCAAGTTCACTTCGCAGACTTGTGTGTTGTGCACATTCCTGCCCCACACCACAGGGTACACCTTTCTGGCAGCAGTGATCTACTCTGTTTGTAGATAGCGGAAAGATGCTTTTAAAAACTGCATAGCCTTCAAGCTTTTCTGTTTCTTCAAACACCAGTTGCAAGGACAGCTGTAAAATACATAAGAACTCCATCAATTACCCATATATGACCAATCTGAAAACTCAGCTCCTGAAATAAGATCAATAAATAATCATTTCTGTAGAGCCATACCAAAGCTGAACTAAATTAAAATCCTTTTCCAGCAGTCTCTTAGTTGAAGGATGGTGTTTTACGGGAGGAAAGCAGTTCAAAGATTCTTATCCATTATTTAAAATTCTGAGCTTTAATTGGGAGCTAAGTTCCCAGAACACAGAACAAAATATGAGCATGTAAAATTATATGCTGCCTTATTTAACATTCTATAAAACTTCTGCTGGTGTGCACTGCTCAAGCTGATAAATGAATACAGTAAAAATTATGCAGAAACTATGCCTGCAGTACTTATTTAATTTGATATCACTGTCCCTGTATTACAGAAATAAGGATTAATTATATCAGAATAATTAACTACACAGGGAGAAAGGACAGCATGCCACTGCATACTGCAAGGAGTTACGTAAAATCCAACAAACAGTGAGAGCTGTCTTAAGGACAACTGTTTATAAGAAAGACTAACCACCAAGTTGCTCTTAGGAGTAGGTTATGTGACTTTTATGTCTCTTCCCCTACAACTGCTAAAGGGAAAAATCTTTTCCTCGCTTTCTCTGAAGAATGTCTTTGGAAGACTGCAAACCTGTTCCATAGGCTGAAACAACCCTAGAACAGCTACTTTAGATGACAACACTGCTTAAGCAGCAAATACCACTATTCTCTTGTTTACATTTCTGCTAACAGCAGACAGGAATCAGAATAACTTCAGGCTGCTTTTAGGTAAGGGAATAAAAGTCAGCAGAAGTTTGAAATTCAGTGTTATCTTTAATTTTTCAAGTCCCAGTGTTTAAGCCTCATATTTTCAGAAAAGACTTTATAATAGCTTAAGATAAGATACTGTACCATACATTTTGTGAATTCTCATTTCTACTAATGTTTGTCCATGATACAACAGAACTGATTCACTTTCTCTAAAGTTCATTAGGTAGCTACTAGGCCTATAATGCATTTCAGGAATAGAGAATTTTTAAGTGCTTTCCACAGCATTACTCCGAGTAAGCTAAGACCTAGAAACACTTCAGTAAGAGCACTAATCTTGCTTTAGTGGACAGATGAGAGAAGAAAAATTGAAAGTATAAAAACCCAGTCCATTTTACTGTGCATTATGTCAATAGATTCTATGTAACTTGAAAGGTTAACTGTGAAAAAGCCAAGCACTCAATACAGCACATTTAAGAAAGACAGTAATTTACCCATCACCCTGAGATTTTTCTAACGTTACCTTCTGTATCTAAAGTAAGTATTTGGGATTTTTTGTTTTGTTTCTCTAACATCCACATTCTTGAGCACTTTGTGCTTGTGCTCTACGTGGCGATCTCAGCTGTCTCAAGGCAGCATCTCCATACTGAATACCTGAGCCCATTCTTTCTGGATCCAATTCTCCTGATAAGAAACAAAATGGTGACAAGAACATACATCATGTGCAAATAATATATTCCAAATTAACCAATAATATTAGATTAAAAAATGCATAATTATGTTCTGACCTAATTATGAAGAGACTATCTCAATTCTGTTTGCTTTTAGGCAATTTCAAACCTGAATCATTTTGTCCTGTAATTTAACCATGTGCCCTTAATCATAATGACAAAGCAAACTGTCTCAGAGTCAGGCTGCAACAAGAAATGTATTTGCACTACTTCTAACAAAAGAAAGGTCCAAAATGTTTTCTGAGAATACAGCTAAAAACCTCTTGCTTTCAGAGGTTTATTTGCAAAGAAAATGGTACTGTAGATACCAAGCCAAACAGAAATGGATCAGTCTGACAGAAGGATTCCCAAAAGAACTGTCCCCAGAGGAAATTATCAGCCTTTCCTACTTCTGGTATCCATTTCTGCTTACTCTATACCCTGAGTCTTCAGAAGTGTTCTTATGGCTGTATGGTGGTCTGGCCAAGATAAGAAATATTTAATCTTAAAAAAAAGCCAACCAACCAACCAACCAAAAATCCCTCTGAACAGTTCAGATCAGTTATTCAGGTTCATTGCGCACAGACGAGCCGTTTGTAAGTTAGCAGATGACACTGCATTGAAGGGACAGCACTTGAGCTGTCATTCAGAAAAGACCTTGGCTGAGCTACAGGAACAGGACATCATTAAATTCAGCAACTACACATGCAGTGCTGTGCACCTTTGATGGAACACAGACAAGCATTGCTATTGGCTGGGGACTATGTAAATAGTAGCAACTGGTCAGCACTGGGACATGTTGCTCAGAGGGGCTGTGGAACCTCTGTTCCCGGAGCATCTCAAAATGTTCCTGACAAGCCATGTGCAGCTTGCTCTCATTTTGAACCTCAATGCACTTTAAACAGGAGGTTGGACCAAAGACCTCCATAGGTTCTTTTCAATCTCCATTTTTCCATGATTCAGTGTGTGTGTACTGGCACAAAGAAAACAGGGGCAGTTCACAGAAAACAGGACTTAATTCTGTCGTGGTAATGCCTCTTTAAATCAGTCATGGAACTAAAGTATCATGAGAAACTAGTAAACACTGCTTCTCATGTGGGTTTTGGGTTTGTTTGGGTTCTTTTTGTTTGTTAAAAATGAAAGCTGTTGTTTGGCATTGATTTGATTCAGTAATCAGGAAACTCCCATGAAAATAACATTTTCATTGAAAAATTTGTGTTTGGCATTCAAAATGTGTAATTAGAATCTGAGACAGAGTTTTCAATATGGCTAAGACTTAAAACTTTGAAGATATCAAGCAGCTAGAAAAGAGGAAAATTGGAATGTAAATTAGCTGCAATGACACCTAACACACAGAAGCCTGTCTCCAATAGAAACCTACCCACTTGCACTGAGAAGCTTCTGGTATATTTCTAGATCTGTAAAAGTAAAAATGGTTTCAACTAAGAAGCAGGAAGGTCACTTCACAAAAACACAGTTGCTAGGAAACATCCCTGAAATTTTTAGTATTTCTGTTCAAATTCTCTTGACTGCATTTTGTGCTACATACGAGAAGCAGAATTAAAAGTTATGTCTGCCCTGACATTAGGTTTTTATTCTGCACTACAAAAACTGCCCATTGTCACACTTGGTATTTGTAGGATGCAGCAACCCACACAGAACATACAACCTACACTCAGAGTTAACTGCTAAGGTAAACACTGTGTACAAACATCCACAATTCACACCACCACCCCTTTTTAGATACACAGATCTCACACATCCATTCCTATGGGAAGCAGCTATAAAACAAATGAGTTATTTTACTACAGTGGTATTTTGGAGGTTTTGGGTTAATTCTATTAGAGAACTTTGAAGAGTAGTATTTTCATGTGTACTTTTTTAGTTTTCAAATGAAATTAAAAAATTTAAAAGAATATAAAGCTTAGTTTACCTGATTCAATTTTATTGAGTATTTTTCTTGCACACTGTACAAAGGCCTCTTCAACATTTTCCCCCGTTAGAGCACTTGTTTCCAAGAACATCAGTTCTGCATTTGACACCAAAAAAAAACCAATCTCAAAACAAGTCTGGAACACCAGATATAGTAGTTCAAAGTATGAAAGCTAGGAGCAATATTCTTACAGAGATCTACAGGTCCAGAAAAATTAACTTTTGATGGCAAAACCACAAAAAAAAGTCCTCTGAAATTTAGCTATCAACCTTGGAAAGCTGGAATCCAAAGATAATAACCTGGGCTGTGCATGCAAAGTAGTGCATGAAACCAATGAACTTCCTAAAGTTTCGCACTAACATGCAAAATCAAAGCCAGTAACCAGAGTTGGTAGAAAAGACTACAACTGATTTATAAAAGCAAAACCAGATTTTGCTGATGGCAGGACTGCAGCACAGAAGCTCAGACCGAGACTGGCTTTAGCTGCCACAGAAACATGTCTCCAGATCGGAAATTCTGAGTACTACGGATCAGGTAATAGTCCTCTAGATCCATGCCCTGCATTAAACTCAGTTTCTTATGAGTAAAACTCATTGAAAACTCATTGCTTCCAACAGCAGCACACCTCATACAACCTTGTCTATTATCTACACAGTCTATAAGACGCTGAAAAACAGGAAAACATGTCCTTCATTTTCTCCTCAGCCCTTTGGAGGCAAGGCAATACCTGAAGTTGCGTTACATTCCCTAGCGAATATATCTCCATAAGAAGGTACTCTTTAGCAGCTGCGACTGGAAGAATCAGCAGTAATGAGACTTAAATAGTACATGTGGTTTTCACTGCAGGCACTGCGTCTCTGTGCCTCCTGCACTGACAGAACTCTTTTCTGTAGACAAGGTACAGTGGGCATCCTAACTGCACAAAAAAATTGAATTATTTTAAGTATTATGCATCTCTGAATGCTACACGAAGATTTTGTACTACTTACCATTTTCTTGTGCAAACCGGGACGCTTCTAAAAACGTAACTTCACGATCCGCATCAAGATCCTTTTTGTTTCCACACAGTATTATCACAATATTTTGACTTGCTAACATTCTTGCATCCGTCAACCAATTAGTAAGTGCATTGTAGGTTTCCCGGCTATGTAGAAAATGACATCCTTTATTAGAACACACTCATTTCTCACGAACAGATCACTGAACCAAAACTCAGATGGCAAATCTGTCTTTGTAGCAATCAACAAACTGCTGCTAGTCAGGCAAGGCACCTACATATCTCAACATGCCAATGATGAACTGGGAAGAGTATCAAATTCCTTCATGAAATTATTTAAAAGCTTAAGTTTTTAAAAACCAAAATTAAATCAACCACAAAATCTAAACACACACACAATTGTAAAACACCCTATAACTGAGAAAAGATAATATTTTAAGCTTTAATCTAGAGTCAGCCTTTTGTGCGTGAAATTTTGGGATACCAGAATGAGTTATTGTTTAACTTGGAATGTTACTGATACTTAAATTTCAGGTGGAATTGTAAGGATTTACTAGGCTTGTGTGGATTTGCATGCCTGAATTTTCACATCCGTGTCAAGACCTATATTGCAGGCAGTCACCCTGCTCACACCATTAGTCATTGTAGCAGTGGTCAGAGATAAATACTTGAAGCAGTAAGACTGACAGATGAGTACAACTGAACTTAAGCACAGAACACAGAGACTGCTGAGAGAACAGTCCACTCACAGGACAACAAGCAACAGATGTAGTGAATCATCATTAACCAACACAAAACTAATCTGACAAGTATCAGTCAGGGGTGGCAGGAAAAATGCAGACGTAATGGAAAGGTATTGTATTGGCTGCCTACAATATTTTAATATTATAAAATGCAGAGATTAACAGAATTTTGGGATATAGTTAAGGAATGTGTAGACAGAGCTATTTTCTCCAGAGAATGACCTACTATATAAGCATACTAATTAGCAGTTTCCACATATAAGTGTGTACTGCCTTGGTTAAGAGTGGCTGAAGTCTCCTCTTGGTTTCTGTGGCAAGGCTTGCTGAGCCAGTGGTTGCATGTGGTCCACCATGATTAGACCAGCTACTGGTGGGCCAATACCCATGTATTTGTCTAACCCTTTAGGATTCTTTACATTTCTGACATTCACAATATCTCATGTAAGCAAGTTCTAAAACTTAAACATGCACTGAAACAGAAATACTTTTTCAAACTACTTTTTTTTCTTCTTGCCCATTGTCCATTAGAGGATTAGGTACTTGGGGAGGAATCATTATGCATTAATTGAAAGAGCTGCTAGCTTTCTTACCTGGTTATATCATAGACAAGCAAAGCACCTGCAGCCCCTCTATAGTAACTCCTTGTTACAGACCTGAAATAGAATTACAGATATACATTTCTGTGGTGCTTTCATTGTTTAAATTCTGGGTTTAAAATAACACCATCTATATTACAAAGCAGAATTCTCATTTACATATTTAAAATAAAACATGTTTTTTCAACAACATTAGCAACTGTGCAGCAGCAGACTATTTACAACTAGAATTTTGATGAAGGATTTTCATTAAATATAGCTGTACAGGGATTCTCAAAGTCCATTATGACCTGTGTGCTGCTGAAGGTATAAGTATCATCATAATATATGACCAGATACAGAACTGGGAGCTGGTATCTGGTCAACAAACTGAAGAGACCTCATTAATGAAGACTACATACAACTGCCCAGCTTTACCTAGTCGGAGGTATATCCACAGAACTTGTCTAACAGGGGATATTTACCTGGATTGCTGCCTGTCACTCAGACTTCTACCATCATATGCACCTTTGTTAACCACCCCCTCTCCCAAACCAAAGAAACTCCACACACACACTCCATCCCCCAAAAATATATTAAAAAAATTGATGTCCTATTTGATGGTGAATGTACTCAGGAATACCCTAGATTTTTACTGAGTTTGACCTATGCCTCAGGTGTAGAATACAATTAAAATATAGCATTAAAAGTATACTGGTGGTTCTAAGCTGACAAATAGGTTGCTTTTTCTTTAAGAAACTTAAGATACCTCAGTCTTTCTAGATGGTTATTTACCCAAATAAATCTGACTTTTTTTTTCTCCTCTAATAAAACAAAACTATACTCTACAATTGTTTTCATGCAGATTTTGAACAGCTTACAACTTCCTGGCATTTACTTATTCCAACCAACAGAAAGTCTTCTAAACACAGAGTTAAGCACATACAGTATGAGTATTTGTAAGCAGGGGTAAATAATAGTCAACACCTACAGCAACCATTTAATAATGAACACTTAAGAAAATGATTGGAAAAAGTACCTGAATCTCTCTTGTCCTGCTGTATCCCATATCTGCAGTTTTACATATTTACCACCAACATTTATGATCTTTGAACCAAATTCCACTCCTATAGTATGATTTGAGTCATCTTTGACTAAAAAAAAACAAGAAATAAACCCAGACTTATTTGGAGAACATTTAAAGTGAATAATTAGTTTTTATACTAAAAAAATCTAGGTATAATCAAAACTCCTCAGTGATCAAATGACAAACTACCTCCTGAACCATCAAATTTAGTCCCACTCATAAGGACACTGCCTGCACACAGAAATAAACATTTTTAAAATTTTCGAACAGCTTATTCAATTTAAAATTACTACTAAAAAGGCCTGCTTTAAATAAGTTCCAGTTCACTTCCATAAATGGCAAGATACCCTTTGTACATTTTTTTTTCCAACTGTGTTTTCTAATACTTTGATGCCAATTAAATTTAAAATTCATGGGAAAACAGAACAAAAAAAGAAGTCTTGTCCATGAATGTGCAAGAGCTGCTACTTCTTTAAAGCAGAAGTAGCTTGTTGTTGGTACTGCAGATTCTCAGCAACACACAACTGCTCTTACTAGAAGCAACATCATGTTTCAAGTTCAATCACAGAATGATGCCATGTTCCTTAGTGCTTACACATTATTATCCTAATGTATTCTTGAAGAGATAAGGTGAGTTACCATTTTGTTGAGAAAGATAAGTCACCTTAGATTTACAAAGGTTTCTAAAAGCATATTGGTTTTGTTTAATCATGGTGCCAAAGATACTACAGGCTTTCTAAATCTACTCAAGCAATTCAACTTTATTTTAATCATTTTTTCTAAAAGATCCAAGTCTCTACTATTTATCTAGGGAAGCTTATAGCTGCAAGATATAACTTCTCACAAGAAGGTAGTACGTTCATCAACATTCTGTTATATTTATTTGAGAGTAATAGAGCATAATGCTCCATATTAGGCTTCTGGCTAGAGGCAAACAGTGAGCAATAAAGACTTACAGCATTGTTCTGAACATAATTCTTAGCCAAAATCCTCACCTACACAAACAAGAGAATTACAGGATTTTACATACAAGGCCGAGTGATACAAAGCATGTGGTACAAAGCAATAAAAAACTCTTACTGTGTTTCACACATACTTACATTTCTTTTCAATGAATTGGTGCAGCAAACAGGATTTTCCAGTTCCAGCATTTCCTATGACCAAGAACTTGAACAGAAAATCTGAAGATTGAAAAAAAATAAATTATTAAATTGTAGTATATACTCACATTTTTGTCACAAGGCAGCTATTCTCCAGTAGTTGTTATTTTAAAGAGAAAGGAATAGATGACAAAATTAGCAAAATAACAATAAATCTCAAGAATAACCTAGTGTGTTCAATAGTGATGTTTCAAAGAATGCTGTTTGTTTATGGAGATACAAGATGGACAAAAAGAGATAGAAATGGCTGAACCTGAATTGAGTTAAAAATAAACCTGTTTGAAGGGTATGTAAGCTACTAACTAGAGCCAGCACAAATGCCCTATATAGCGATGCCATTTTTAGAAATCTCTATATTTTTGTATTTTTATTTTTTAAAATTATTTTATTCACATTAATTTGAACTTCCCTATATAACTGTTTACTCCTTGTACTCTGTTTTAAGCCACGTAAACCTTGGACAACAACAATATTTTTCTACAAAATTTAAAGGGAAGAAGTAATTTTTATTCTGGGATGCCTGTTTTCACATTTTCTCCACATGGTAAATTAAGATTCAGGTATTTCTGGTACATCACCTATTTATGAGCCATTTACATCAGTGTTCATTGGTAACACATGTATTAAAGATTTATGTTTATGTTAAAAATATAGAACAATTTGTATTGTTTTAACAGATACATATAATGCTTTAATGCTACCTCCCCGAATCTGCTTTAGTTTCACTAAAGACTGAAGAAACCTTCCCTGTCTTTACTGCTCTCAAAACTGATAAACTGTGATAAGAAAGCTTACAATCGCTTCCCCCAATATATCACCACCAAGGCAACCTTTACAGTTCATGCAAGATTTGCTATTCATTTTTCTACCAGTAGCAGTATCTTTATTGCACAGTTTCTCTTCTAAACACAGCAGGTCTCCGGAAGATATCCAGTAAGCATGCAATGAAAAGGATTAAGTTTGCAGTATCAACAAAAATAAGAACATTAATTTTTTTAATAGTGTTCAAAGCTGCTAAATGGGTTACATGGATATTGGCCGTGGGGATGGCAGAATAAAAAGAAAATCAGATTATGCCTGGCAAGTCAAAGCACTAATACAATACTCTATCAGAACCTCATTTGAATATTTAGTTTTAAAAATTGAATCTAAGATGCACACAAATCTATGTGCTCATTCCATTTTGTGCAGGAATTATTTGTTATGGTGTATCATAAACACCCTCTAGCAATGGTGAAAGGAACAAGTAAGTTTCTCAAATGCTAAGAAAATCTCCACTGTTAAAAAGTCAGTAACAAAATAGAGGGCCACAGGTTCTGGGAATGTCCACCACCCTATGTCTTCACTTATCTCCCAGATTTTATTCATATTTAAAATCAAGTAGTGTTTTATTAAGGACTTTTGTTTTTTTTTTTTGCCTTTGCATGATTTTTCTTGTTTCAAATGTTGTAAAAAACTCGGCATACATTCTGTATTCTACCCTTCTCAGAAAGAGATTGCTGTTTCTTGCTCACAAAATGTGACCATTTACATGCTCAAGACATTCTGTTCCAAACTCCTCTCATTCTTCACGCCCCCACCCAGCTGCTCATGCTTTCTGGATAAAAAAAATTGTTACAAACAGGATTTTCCTTCAGGTTGCGAAAATTTTGTGTGTAAAGAAGGGCCCCTCATGTCACCTCAACTGCAAAACACGTTGAAGCTGAGAACGCTTCACTCTATCAAGTCTTCACTGTTAGTACGAAATGTAGACATCATAGATAGTCTCAAAGTGCCAGGTTAAGAAAAAAATCTCAAAGAAACCCAAGATTTAATTTTTATGGATCAAATATCACTGGTTAGCTGCCTTGTACGCCATTTTGTATATTTAAACTACTGTGGGTGTGTGCAATCGCACTGGTTTTACCATTTTCAGAGTTTCTCAAAATGCAAGATGTTCTGAGACATAATCACAATTAAAATAATGTGTTTCTGATATCTGCCATGTTTCCAAAAATAAATCTGAAATCCAGTTAAAACTGTTGTACAATGTATCTGGGGAATGCTGTTTGCCAGATTTTCTTGTTAAAAACAACTGTAAAATTCAAGTTTACCATCATTTTTTTTCCACAGAAAATTCATATTATTGACAGTAGTGTAATAGCTACTGTCAACCTAAACCAGGAAAAAAATAAACCCGGAACTCTATTCCTCCACTAATTTGCACTGTTATAAGCACTGGTGGTTAAATGTGGCTCACAAAGCCATATTTGTGCAACCCATAAACCCACAGTGAACAGTAAATTTAACACCCTGCTCTGTTCTGCACAGACAGGCTGCGGGCCAGTGAGATACTGGGACAAGGATGTTGCTGTTAGGGACAGATCTGGAAGAGCTCCAGAACAGCAGCATATTTTTCCCTGAGATGTTTTAAGTTGAGGTGCTCTCTGAAAGCAAGAGTGGTATTTGGGGATTTTATATTCTTGTCTTTAAACTGGTAACATATTCTAGCAGCACTTTATAATAGACTCATGATTCCTACCAAGAGTCTATTTTGCAAAACAACTTTAAAAGGGAATCTTTCCTACAGATAAATCACTTTGATGCCAGTTCAATGCCTGCTTACTTAGTAGACAAAACCCAAATTTCCCTCTGGCAAAACAGCAAACAGACTCTCTAAGGTGAAACTTGAAACTGCAGTTACAATTCATTTGTTCACAGTATGAAACTAAGGCAAATGTGTTTTATTCCACCAGAGAATGAAAATATCAAAATCTTCTAATAAAAAAAAAATTTAAAACTTTCTGCATCAAAGAAGGCAGCACATGTAGACTTGTAGAGTAAAAGATCTGGATGTTGTATTCTCAAATGTAACTGTGCTTCCATCAGTTTGAACTCCAAATTTATGTAAATTGTTCAAAATAGCAAGAGGCATTTAGACTTATGTTAACAGTTTATCCACAAGTACTGGAAAAAATGGTTCAGGAAATATGGAATACTCTGCACAGTTAATCATCTGCAAGGAAGGGCAAGAAAAAGGCTTTGCCAATACCAAAATCATAAATACCTAGGTTTAACAAGCTTTTAAGTTGACAGCCTAACATATTAACAAGTAAGGTAATACCAGGTGATAACAGGGAGAACATTTTTCTTTTTGTTATTCTGGAATTTCTTTCTTATAATGTCATTCTGTAGGATAACAGGTATCACATCAATTACAATTTTATAACTTATTTTAGTGCTTGATTTAGGACATGAAATGTCTTCTCTGTAAGCTGTACAGATGCATCTCAAAAATGTTAGCACAGTTCAGAAACACAGAAACCAAATGAGATTGGCTTCTTTTAGACCAACTGTAACATCACTGTGTACTCAAACTTGATAAGAACTTTAATATATTCATTCTTTGCAACTTCCTAATTGCTCTAGATTTTCTTTTTGATGTCCTCTTCCCAGAGTAGTTAAGTCACTTTATTTCACAGCCTTTTTTTTTTTCTGCCAGTGATGATGTGGCTCTGAGTTCCAGCATTCCGATCAGCTGCCAAGGCTGTCATCCAAGAGAAACTTTTCTTTTTAATTCTGTTGTTCCTCCTTCATAAAAAAGCTGAAAAGCAACATCATTCAGATGTTATAAATGCTTGCTGCCATGCTGGCTACTGAAAATGTCTAGAAAAGTTAAAGTACTTTGCCTGTAAATAAAATCATCTTTATACAGAAAGGATTTAGGGCTAAACTGAACTCTGTGCCGAAAGGAAAAAGGGTTACAAGACATGCTCTACAGAAAGCATAAAGAGAAGAAACATAGCATAGTATGGCCGTTAAAGGAAATAAAGCAATATAAAGAATCAACTGACTACCCTCTGTGAGCTACACGCATCACCTGATCCCAAACTGGGTAGCGGGTAAAGGAAAAAAACAACATTCTAGCACAGGTGAAAAGGAGCAAAACTGTGGCTTCACCCTAAAGATGCACCAGCAACACGAGCAGCTAAACTACATAAATTACATGTTGGTTGCTGTCTTTTGCATTTGTTTTTTCCTTCTGGGGAGGTGAGGTGTGAGCTGAGGGGAAAGGAGAAGAGAGACACTTGTGGGCTTTGGTTCAAGTACCAGCAAAAACAGATGGTTCATGTGGAAACCACCCCCAGACATCCAGCCACCTCCTTTGACTGAAGTCTGCTCCAGCAGAAGGAATAATTGAACAGGTTTTGAGCTACTGCAGCTTAGTCTATTAAATTATTTCTTCTTCCTAATACAGTAGGGGGGGGGGTGGAGGAAGGGGGAGAAACCAAATTATATCCTCAATCTCAGTTTGATCTCCCTCCAACTCCTTGCTAAAGAGTAGAATTTATAATCACTAATGCTGACCCTTTGGAAATTCTCATTCATGCCATGCGGAAAAAAAAAAAGGTCTCCTCATAATTAGACATCTATTTTGCAGAAGGAAAGAGTGCTCTGAAACATTCCTACTGACATATGCTGCCTCAAAATGAGAGAAAAGAGGAACTATTCCCACTGCTTACTCCTTTTTCTAGCAGTAAGTTAACAAGATAAACAGGTAGAACGGATAAATCTGGCTCTACTCCAGCCTGCATAAGGAATGCTTGGAAGAGGGAAGATCTGCTTCCTTACAGGCAAAAGAGCTATGTTTTTTCTTATGACTAAGAAATAAAGTCAGATTTGGAACAAACTGGAGGCCAGGGTGATAAATGCAGAGACTGCCAGGGATGGTGAGAAAAGCATGAATCAAATTGTCCAGACCAAAAAGAATTATTTTCAAATGGACAGAAAAGACTATACATTCTCTGACAATCACAGAAATTGATAAACTTATGGGACCAGACTGGGAGTAGTAGATACTAGCGGAGAAAACACAGGGAAGGAAGGAGTGAAGAGATCTGACTTGAGTCTTACATATCACACTGATTCAAAGGTAGTACAACCTTTCTTCTATCCTTCTACCATTTGAAATCCAAAGGTTGCTTTGCATTTACCTATTAAGGGTAAGCTATTTTTATGTCAGTCTGTATTTACCACAACACAAAAACATGTATACTTTGCCCCAGGAAGCACGCTAAAACATGCATGTGTTGTCATATGGCAACTATCTAGAGAAATGCCATTGCATCTCAGAAATACCGAGTAAAAATAATTTTCCTAGAGACTCGTTTCCAATGTTACAAGATAAACTTTTAAAAGAATTACCCTTCTATCCCAAAAGCAGCAATAAAGTGTTCTTTCTAAACCCAGCCTCAAAATTCATGGAGTTATCTTGTATTCATGTTTGGTTTGGTTCTGGCACTTTGTAAGGGAAATAAATTGAACATACAGGAAAAGGATAAACAGATTAGAAAGCTAAGAAGAGAAGACACAGAACTTATGAAACACATTGACAGGAGAGAAAAATGAATTGTGAACAAAATTTAGTGTCAAGACTGAAAAGCTACAGAACTTGGTTTGAAAAGAGGGAAGGAACAAGAATCTTAGTAAGGGACAGAAATAGCTGGGAAAAGTGAGTGGACAGAAAAGCTTCAAAGCAGACAGAATTTGACATAGAGGAAGGAATTCAGGGAAGGGGAAAAAAAGGAGAAGACAAGTAAATTAACTGAGGTGGATAATGAAATACGATAGGCAGAAAGGACTGACCAGAGGAAAGGCTCTTTATTCCTCATGGATTGAGAAAAATATTGAAAAAAATAGTCCCCCCTTTCAAAGGGAAGAGAAGCTGAAACCTCACAGCAAAATTAAAATCATATAAAGGTCAGACAGCAAAATTACATGGGGGAAAAAAAAACAACCACCAACCCAACCACCAGTCAGTTTTCTGAGCCTATCCATATGGAATGAAAAGCTTGAGGTTACATAATCAGAATGGGTCGTAATTCAGGTGACAAGAAGAAAAATCCAACTCATGAATAAGCACCTATAAGGGCAGAAGCTACAGGGATTCCAGCACTGAGGGGATACAGTGACCACTGGTCTCCCCACCAGCCAAAACTGCCCTAATACTTCTCTCATCCTTGATGGTCACGTTACAGCTGGTCAGAAACAAACCATCCTTTGTTAGGACAACAAGCACATTAAATCCCAGGAAGTTCATCTAGCACGGCAGATCCACAGTTTTATCACACTGTACTGTTTACTTTGATCTGTCAATGGGGCTGCTACATATGTGTACAGGACAATGCAAAATTATATAGTGACTACTATTACAGTCAGAGGTGGTATAACCATTGTTAAATTTTATGCTATAACTTAGTGTTAGTCTATCTTCTCTAAAACTTGACACTCTCAAGCACTCTGGCTCAGAATTTTTTGTAGCTTGTGTATGCATAGGACAAAATGAAAACTCGAAAGGGTAATGTAAGGTTGTTCAACAGGAACAATCCACAACTGCAAACCTTTCATTTCCAAGGGCTTGTTTTCTAGGACACCAAAAAAACTGGAAAGTATCAACAGCTACAGCGGGCTTACAATCCCTATTCTGCATGACTGGAACAATGCAAAAAAATGTTGAAATGTTCTTGTTTAAGATACCAATCATCTATTTAGCTTACTTAGTATTACAGCATAAAAAGAGGAGCATTACTGAAATCCTGTAATCTCTGGTTTTCTACCAACCCATCCGCTCAGAGACCACCAATCCCAATGTAATCACAGCCGAAGCGAACACAGGCCTTGATCACAAGAGTTCAGAGCATAAGGAACTTGTTCAAACTCAAATCTAGATCTGCAAAGCACACCCCTCTGGTTTCTACAGGTAAGTTCTGCATGTATCTAAGTAGTATGGACAAAAGAAGCAGGGTCTTAGTATCTCAATGTTTGCACTTCAAGGGCTGCCCCACATACTCTTGCCTCATTTTGCCCCTTAGTTCTGTGCACTTGCTGTGCACCAAAGCACGGACCAGTAGGAAAAACCACCAAGCACTGATGACTACAGTATTGAAACAAACTGACTTACATAGGAGAAACAATCAAGTCAGTCAGCCTATTAGTAAGAACTCCTTGATGGCCATGCCAGCCTCCCTCAGTTAGCAGAGTTGTCTCCAATTTTGCTTTAATTATCCAAACTACTGCTTATTTTCAAGACTCTGCTCTAAAGCAAGAGGACGCAAATCCAGCTCAAAAGTCTGAACCACTACTGAAGAATCACAGAATATGCTGATTTGGAAGGGACCCATCAGGACCATTGAGTCCAACTCCCCCTGTCCCCACTGTCCTGTGCAGGACACCCCAAGAATCAACCACATGCCTGTGAGCATTGTCCAAACGCTTGAACTCAGACAGGCTTGGTGCTGTGACCACTTCCCTGGGGAGCCTCTTCTAGTGCCCAACCACCCTCAGAAAAGATGTTGCAACACACAAAACTAGAAAATGACACATGAAAGGGTTTATCACAGCACTCAATTCTGATCTTACTCTCATGGACTATGAATATGAGCCTATTCCATGGACTTTGAATATGTACAGCAGCATCTTTACACTGCAAAACATTATGGAACTGTATGATATGGAATTGGGAGAAAAGCAAAATCTATTCAAGAAGGCTTGTTTCAATCAAGATTATAAAGAAGAAAAATGAATACTATTCAGTTGCTTCTCACCTCCTCCACCTTCAAAATGGCACTTCACTTCTTTGGTCAAATAGGAAGGGAAGAGTAAAAATGTCTCTCATAAAAGCAACTATTTAACTTCAGTACATTTTTTTATTTTGAACCTTGAGTGCAATCTAGCCATCCAGAAAGTTTGTTTTGAAAATGTTTGTTTCAATTCCTGCAGGAGAGTCAAACACCTGAGCAACACCAGCTCTGCTTAGCTCTTCTACTCCTCACTTCTCTTTGATGCTTCCCAGCGAGGCGCTGACACACCTTGTCAGTGCTTGCGCTCAGACTTACTCCATCGGATGTTTTCCTACCAGTAGCAGTCAGACAACCATTTCAACTCACTCTCACAGTGAACTCCTTTTGATGCCTGCATATCTAAGACAACAGGGCCGAAACCTTAACTTGAGCCTCTGAAGCACACACAGCCTCCAACGACAGAAACGGGCAGCTTCTCTCAGAGGACATGCACTGCGAGTTTCCCTCGGAATCCCTGACCCACAGCAAGCAGTGTCTAAGCTGGCACTTCCTCACGGTGAAGGATAACTGGGAACGCTCCCAGCCGGGCAGCCACGGGTGGGGCAGGCGCAGCAGGGTCAGGGGAGCGGCGGGGCAGGGGGACCCGCCCGGGCCCGGAGAACCCTCATGCCACACTGGCTTCCCCCCGCTCCTCAGGGGACACCGCCCGGCCCCGGCCCCGCTCTCTCGGAGGGGAGGAGGGAGAGGGGGATACCCTCGTCCCGCTCCCGGTTCCTACCGTACGTCTCGGACATGGCAGTCTGCGACATCCCGTGAGGGCAAGCCCCCCACCGCCGCCGCTCCTGCTTCCCCGCCCGCCCGGGCTCGGCGCTCACCGGCGGAGGGAGCGAACAGGCCCCACTCCGCGGGCCCGGCCCAGCCCCGCCCACACCGCCGACGCGCACGCGCGCCCGGACCCCGTACGAGCCCCGCCTCCCCGCGCAGGCGCGGCGGCTCGCGCCCGCCGGTACCGCCCACTCCCCGGGAGGCCGCCCCCAAAACAAGGAGCACGTGCGGGGCTTCCCCACCCTGGGATAACCCTCCCACCCACGCCCCCCCCCCCCGGGCAGTCGGGATGTGGAATAAACTCTCCGAGTGCAATGATGTTGTCCCGGACGCGGGGTCGTCACGCGGTGCGCGATTTCTGTGAAGCCGTTTCCGTGTTTTTCTGTGTTTTATCCGGGTTTGCGCAGGCTGTGTCCGCGGTCATCGAAACTGCTCACTATTTATACATTTGAACAAACAAATGCATCAGCATTCATTGGTTACAAATTACGTAACTTCTAACTTGTACTCAACTCCCTATTTGGTTGTTACTTCTCTCGCTTCTCATGGTAAATAGTCCGCAGGCTCAGTTCTTCCCTTCTTTTGAGTCTGGAGTCGGTTTTGAGTAGGTGGTCGATGAGTCGGTGATCGCGATCTCCCGCTGCCGGAATCACCTTTCCCCCAGTTACTGCTCAGTCCTACTGACTTCACTCCTGGTGGCTCTGGTCTAGACAGCCCACTCACCTCGAGATAGTCTTCTCTTTTCCTTAAAACAAAAGATTAGCCAAGCATACAACATTCAGAATGCAATTGCTTAATCATAACTCTCTGGTTATAGCTACTGATTAATAACAAAAAAAATTGCAAAGTTTGATTCAAATCTTGAGAGGCTTGATATCAATAGTGCCTTATCTATATTGTTCTTTATTGGATGTCTTAACTCCCCTGTCAACCCTGGTTAGTCTGGTAGCAAGGGGCACTATGACACACCACAACAGCCTCTCCATCTTCTCCCTCCCCAGATGATACTTCATGTGTGTCCTCCACATTCTCCTTTCTGCCAGTCCTTAAAAAAATCCTCTTCTGTTATTTCTGGCTTTTTAATCTCATTGCTCACAGCTTCCCATTCTTTCCACTTCCCTATCATCTCCAAGACTGTAGGAAAAATGGCCTTTGCCTGTACCAGCCACCTCCTGACCAAGTCTTCTACTGTTCAGAGGTCAGCTTTGAAGTTCTCATCTCTAATCAGTGGAACAACACGTGTTGAACCAGCACCAAGAACCCCTCAGAGCACCTGCTGATTATTCTTGTTGTTGTGGTTACATAGACAAAGAAACTTACCCCAGTTTTCAAAGAACCAGCTCCTTAATGAGCTCATACTATTAACAATAATTAGTTATATAAACAGGTCCCCAAAGTTATCATTGCTCTGATCCCTGATACACAGAGGATATTGGGCTCTAAAATGTCACATGTGAACATTTTTCTGGGGTACCTGCTCTACAGAATTCTGAGGAATATTCACATGAACTGCATGGACCCCAATACGTTCCAGATGTGAGCTTTGTGTCTGAAAGCTGTGGTCTGACATCACCAAATCCCTCATAGATGTTGGTTATTTTTGCTCAAACCTCCCCCCCCCAGCAAAATTAATCAACCCAAAACGACAACAACAACAATGAAAACGAAAAAATCACACAAAAAAATCCCAACCAAAAAAAAAAAACAAACCAACCAAAAAACCAAACCAAAAGTGTTAATCAAAAAATCCCCAAAGATAGTAATGGAAGTAGACAGATTTTACTAGATTACTAAAAATATGTCATGTTTTATCAATAAGAGAACATGGAGATTTAGACCTCTTGCACTGTATAAACAGTACTTTAAGGGAAAAATTAGTCTTGTTTTTTATTATGTGTATCTTGCAAGATGAGCTTGTATATATGGAGGTTATATTTGATAAATATGTCATTGTGCTAATGCCACATTCCTTTTCTTGCAATCACTCCTAACTAGTTTACATGCGCATGTCAATAAAGCACATTAAAACTGTACAGCTTTCTATAAAAGCTATTGGTTTAATACTGAAGAGAAATGTGGAGGTTGAAAGAATATTAAAGACAAGAGAACATCAGAGATGAGTAGGATTCAGTGTCTTAGTATTTTTGCTTTGAAGAAGAAATTAGAACAAAGAGTAAAATTCAGAAATAAATAAAAATTGTCCTAGGATAAAAAATACACATAGCTGATACCTCAGTAATTTGAGAATGTATGGTCCTGTGTGTTAATAAAATCATTTCTTCTGAGTTAAATAGCAAGAATTGACCTCATCAGTGTTCATCTTGAGTACAAATGTGAGAAAAACCCCCAAAGCCAAATGTTTAAATCACTTTCTGATTTATGGTTTCTGTTGATTACATGTGCTAGAATCTTCTGGTTCATGTAAAAAGAGATATATTTTGTCAAATTGGATCTGCACATCAGGACTTCCTCAAATTAGTTTCACCACAGTTATTGTGCCTAGAAGTGATTGTGGTTGTAAAATTGCTTCTCAGAAGGTCATCTTAAGGTTTCTCTAAAAATGCTAGTCTCATTTTTTACTAGTTTTTACTAACTAGTGTACCATAATAGGAATGGAAGAGGACCCACAAGATCTCATTAGAGCCAGACTCAGGATGGGGTATTCTGTGAAAGTTCTTTCTTCCAAAATAAAATAACACAGCTTAGGACTTTGTGGATTTGGACACGGCTTTTGATGATCTAGCATTGCGAGGCAGATCCTTCTGTTTTCCTTTGCCTTTCCTTTATTTTCATTTGTATTGTAGGGGAACAAAGTTCAGCCTGTAGCTGGGACGTGTTTTTGGTTCACCTTCACCGTAGTCTCCTAGCTGGGACTGGCGTGCAGCTGAAGGTGGGATAGGCTTTTCCTTGAGGAAGTGGTGGGGATGCCTTACTTTGGTCTGAAGGTGGCACTGCAAGGCTGTATGTGGAAACCACTGCAGTAGCTTGACGCTACTGTTGTCTCTGGAAGTTATGGCCGTATAACACGCAGTCCAACCTGGGAGACTCATGTAAGATGGGGAATGATGTATTCTGCTGCACTTCTCTGTTCCTTGCATGCTGAATATGGAAAGCAACCTGAATATGGAAAGCAAAGTATGTGGAAGCTGCAGCTCGATTTGATTCAGCTCAATTTGAAGCAGCAATGAATCTGGCTCCAACAACCCAAAAGGAATATGAAGACAGGTGATTGATACTCTGAGGAACCTCTGAGATTGCCATGACTTCCTTGTACTCAGTGCCATTGGCCAGCTGGCTTTATCTGAAAACAACTGAAATCATCTAAACACTGTCATCTTCAGCTTACACAAAAACTGTCCTCAGTCTATGACCACGGTTGTCAAATTGTGTGTTTACACCTAAGACCTATTAGCAACAAATTCAGCATTAGGCACAAACATTACACCACTCTCTTTCAAAAATGAAAGTAACATCCATATATTTTAAATAATAGCAAGAAATGTACCAGTCTTTCTCATTAGGCTAGAACCATAGAAGTATTGAAACTGGACCTCTAGGCAGCTAAGAATACAACAGTCATTGAGCCAGAAAAAGAGCAAGCAAAGGAAGCCAGAGCTTGCTCTTGCTTGCCTTTAAAGAAACCTCAAGCCGTTTCAGCTGGTGTGCAGATAGTCTGAATGCCTGATCCTCAGGCATCCAAGGAGGATCCGAGGGTCCTCAAGGGACCAAATGTAAACTGGTCTGATAGTTCTCTTGTTCTAGCTCAGAGTCACCCACAAGCAGGTAACATACTTGGTACCATGAGAGGTAACCCTCTCCCTGGTGTGGTGTCAGCACAAACACCCATCCCCTCAGCACTGCTGCAGCAGACAGGCCCAACAGGCGGACAGCACATGGCAACACATGCCACTCACATGCCCTGCATGGACTTAAATAATGTTAGCTTAAAATCACATTAGTGATTTAATTCTGCAGGAATCATGTAAATAGAGTGAAGTGGCCTAAATACTTATTTCAGCATGTCAAGAGAGACACAAGAAAATGAAGACAACAAAACCTGGGGACATTATAAAAGTACATTATTCACTGATAGTGTCTAGAATACAGACAAACTGATGTGACACCCACGTTCTACGAAGTTAGTCTCAGGCAGTTACCAATTAATTGCCCTGTTTGTGAAATAGTGATAATGGAATGTAATCGGCTGCATTTGTTCAGTTTTAGCAATAGGAAATGGCTGAGGCTGTTGATATTTTTAATACCAAATACTTGGACTAGAAGATTTGTCAATAGATTACTCAGGCACACTTGAGGCCATGTGTGTGTTCTCCTTTTCATGCTCAAACTGGCTCTCCCTGCTCAGGAAAACTTGCATGTAATGAAAATGTCTCTCATTTGGGTCCTGTTTCTCAAGTTAACATCCTTAAAGACTCAATATAACAGTCTAGATTTAATCCTGATCCTTCAGATTCTGGGAATGCAGTACCAGGAAGCAGTTAAGGCTGGCTTTGGACATGGATGTTGAACGTGCATGGTTCACTTGGATGGCTCGTCAAGTAGTTCCTCTATCTGGGTCAGTGTGTGAAGTGCATGCTCGAGAAGGAATTTGTCTTGTCCCGTTGTTGGAGATAACTAATGCATGATCCCATGCTCCCAAAGTTCTTGTCTCCCAGCTGGCTGAATCAAGGACCTGTCCAAATTGTACCATGATGCTGTGCTTTGCTGTGCTGGGGACTGCAACTAGCAGTGCAGCTGGACCCTGGCCCATGGAAGTACTCCCATGTCCCTTGCCCAGGTGTAGCCTAAATGCATGCTGGCCTTCTGGGCACCATCTGTATCAGTGCAGAATGGGAGGCACCTCTGGAGAGGTCTTCAGCCCATGGACCATCATCATCTGTCTGAGGACAGAATGGATTACCTTCTTTCCACTTGCTGTTTTATAACAGGGAGCCCAATGTAAGCTTTGAAAAACTAACACAGACACCTAAAAGTAGGAACTATCAAGCCTTACCCCAGGGAGTTTGACTTCATCTTCCTTTCTCCAGGCCTTGCTCGTGCAGATGGAGAAAGGCCGGCAATGAAGCACCAGACTGGTAGGTAAAAC